GAATTATCATCCTGAGAATCTTTTGGGGAGGCGGCAGTGAACCGTGTTTTTCACTTTGCGTCAGAGGTACAAGGCCAACAAACATAATCCTTCACCTTAATTAGATTTTATTTATAATAGAGTAGATGCAGATAGGGACATTGCTTCCAGATAACTGAGCAGAGGTTGATCTAGAAATAAGGCAGGGTAGATTTGCACCGTATAAGCTAACCGATGTAGAGAGAAAGACAGCGCGATCTCTACTTTGGTTAGTCCATGTTTGCTGTCTACGAAAGTTGACAGGAGTTTTGTTAGTCTATGTGCTTTTGTTAAAGTAAACCAAGTCTACTTTGGTTAAGTGCAAATCTACCTTGCTTTCTATTTGACTAACACAGCGAACTACATCTGTAGAAATTAGAGTCAGCCTTGCAATATTTTGCAATTTAAATTTTTGTTTTATTTGTATCAAATTTCATAATACTTTACCCTAATCTAGCACGTTTTATCAGAGGATTTCAGCTGCTGTGTAAATACTCACTGACTAAGCCTTAATGTAGCCTGTGAGATAAGTAGTATTGCCCATTTTCCAGAGGTGAACTGTAACGGGGAGGTTAAGTGAGTTGACTACGGTTCCCCAGCACCAAGAACAGACCCAACTCAAGGCTCCTGGGACCTCCCTGCCCTTTTCTCTCTTTGGCTACAAAACAGGTCAAACTTTTAAGAAACCAGAAAATGAAAATTTCCATCAAGGAATACTAGTGTATTTAAATAAGACATCAATCCATTTTCCTCAAGTAATGCAGTGTAGCTAAATCTCCAGTGTATGCAATACTGTGATCCCAGTGGAAGTTTTGCTTGAATAAGGGCTGTAGGAAGAGGGTCTTTCCATAAAAGGAATTTAAAATCTTTGTATGTGATGCTAAGGTGAGCCTTCCAGAAAACACGGTTGATACCCAACTGCTATTTCATATTAATAAAGCATAAGCCTTTTTGTGGTTTCTGACAACATTAGCAGCCCCCCCTTCCCTCCCCCCCCCGCACACACTTTGGTTTAAATCTAAAGTTCACAAATAAAATTGGTGGAATAATACCACATTTAAATAAACACCTTGTAGGATTTATTGCTGTATGAAAAAATAAGTCTTTCCTTCTTTGCCTCTTTTTTCTTGTGTAATTTCTCCTTGACTAAAAATCATGCCATGATCTTCTGAACAGGACTTGTCTATAGACCGTTACACTTAGATGCCGACTCACAAATGGTCATACTGTTATTCTGACAATAAGCAGAGTACAGCATATGTAGTTGTTACATATAATTGCTCTGAAGAAAATAGACACATATTGGTCCCAACTAACCCTTTTTCTAGGGCTTGGCTTAATGGGTAACTTGAGTTCTGTTGATGAGAAAGGACTTTTCATTTTACGTACTCTTGTGACAGGGTATTCAGCAGAATTTGCAGATTTGTTGGACTTTGACGGGGCCGCACCATGAGCGCTTCTGCTGTGGCCTTCAACTTGCAACCTCTGAGCTGTCAAACGTGCACCTTACACCCGCATCACCCCAACCCCCATGGGGAAAAATGGCATGAGAGCAGAAGTTTGAAAGCTAAGAACTGGTTTATAACAGAACCAAATCTTTCATCCAAGTTTTGCCATTCCTAGGCTTTTCCTGTGTTGGAGTTAACAAAGATGCACCTGCCCCTTTGACTCAGTCGTTGTTACCTTGCATCTGTATGCAGGGAGGGGCCAGGAACTTGACAGCAGATTAACGGGGCAGAGGAGTCCTTCGCCCTTTGCAGAGCATTAGGGCATGCCCTGTTATATCCTGTTTGTAATTGTGAAGGAATTCAAAAGAGAGATGGGGCATACACACACTTCTCCTTTTGTGCCGGTTTTAATGCTGGCGTGATAACTTTTTTTCAGTGAAACTACAGATTAGATTCCTGCAATAAAGAAAGCCCAGTAAATCTCAAATCAGCTTGAGTTTGCAGAAGGTGGGACTATTTTGGCTGGTGGGGAGGGGTATCTTTTTCTTATGTTTATATTTTAAGGCCAAGTTATTATCCATTCCTTTTTATTTCGTCCCAAACGTTTTTAGCAAACCTTGACTTAGAAACCTACTCTCTGGGTTGAAGGATGTTAATAGATCTAAGGTAAATTGGGCTGCTGCCTTCTCTTTTAAAATTTCACGCTGTTGGCAAAACCTGCCAGCCAAGACTGAGTGCCACACCAAGGTAACATCTGACATTTTCCCTTTGCGAAGAAGTGCATCAAGAGGGGAGATTGGTTTGTTCATCTGTATAATAGGACTGTTCCCTCTGTCATAGCATTTTATTAGAAATTGCCATCCTCTTCTTATTTCACTTGCAAATCCTCATTAGCCGGGACTGTCCCTGAGAGACCTGCACCTTCGGAGCTCTCTGCACTCCTTCCCAACATATGCATATGATGCTTTATATCTGCTGATTGCTGAGAACCTGCTATTGCACGCTAAAAGATGCTCTTGAGGACTCAGCCACCCTGTGCCAATCTCCTTATGCAGCCGCCTCTTGCAGTCCCCCAGAATGGCCTTCAGTCTCCTGTGACAAAGAGCCTTTGTATCCCTTTTCACTGATAAACCCACTGCCTTCCTCAATCGAACAAAGCATTGGAGCTCTGGTCTGTCTGACCAGTTTCCTTCTTTTCAGCTTTCTAAAAGGGTTCCCTAAAAGCTATTAGTTATATTTGGGGGGGGTCACATGCAGAATCAATCCCATACTTTATCTTCTGCAGCCTTGGGACTCCAGGACTGCTTTTTCTGGTGCCTGCACTCATACTTGCTGCAGTGCCAGAAGTGGGGGTGCTGGGACGCTCTGCCTTGCAGCACTGCTTCTGGTGTGAAAGGTTTCTAAAATCCCCTTGAAGCCTGAGTCTGGGACTCAAAACCTGAAGTCAGGCAGGTGGCTCTGCTCTCACGGGCGCCCTGGTTGTCATCAGGAGTCGGCCCGAGCTTTACATGCACCCCACTGTCCTTTGCAGAGAATCCCAGAAATGTCGGAGGCGCCTTCACAGACCGGTATTGTTTTGTCAAATACAGAATTGTAGTGATTGTAATGCCGACGTTTACTTATTAGTAAATTGGGGTCAATGGACACAGTTATTTCCCTTCTACTTGAAGGGATTACGTATGAAAATTTTCCAACTGGGTTACTTAATGCCTTTCCACTGAAGTGATTCCAGCTATTCACTACAACTTCCCACATCAGGTTCAATATGGTTTGATTAGAAAGCCTCTTCCTGTGCTGCTTATGTCTGTCAAAGAAATCCCATGCCAGAACAGCATCTGTAATTACTATTCAGGACACAGTTCCCCTGTACTCTGAGAAACATTTGTTATTTGGAGGATAGCACAGCTCCTACCAGAATAGGTACATTAGTGTAGGGTCGTAGTCTGATCTCACTGGCACAAGTGTTAATCCACTGCTAAACCTGCTTCAGATCTGAATCAGATACTCTAATATCAATTGTATCCGGATCAAATTGAATACCGATTGATTTTTCCCTTTTGCAGTCACTGGTAATGAAGTATGTGTTTTTTAACCCAGTTACATTTCTTTTGAGCCTTGTCAAACTTGCAGGCAGCTTGGAAGATGAAAAAATCAGTGAGGAAAGAGAGATCCTTTTAGCTGTAGCACAGGTTAATAGTGACCCATTGTCACTACCCTCTGATGGTTGGTGACCTGTGTCAAATGAACTTAGCCAGCTTCCAGGAAGAAAAGGTCCACACCACCGCACTTGCAGGCAGCGTGAGCACGGAGATCAATGACTGATTCACTCATGAATGTCCTCTAATACCCCTATACAGAGTCCTTACAGCTCAGGACAGCATGCAGACGCTGCCTTGGCCCATACTGGTTCTGGGAATAAAGAGAGGAATTCAGCCACCAAAGCCATAAATCTGGCACCAACACTAAACCTATCTGAAGATTTTCAAATACAAATGCCTCTGTCATGTGCTGTAAAGCAACTCTTACTTCGTAATCCTTTGTTTTGCCTGCTAGAGCACCTCCTTTAAACCACTGAGCCTTTAGGAAGGAAGAAATCGCCCAGATGGACACACGTTGTGCCCTGTCCAAAGATAAAGGAATGCGGGAGGGTTGCCAAACTGGATTGAGCGGTAGGACACCGAGGATAAAGGAGGCACCAAATCTTGCCTTCAGCTGGGCAGTTATTGCACCTAGAGCCAGCTCTGCCAAGTACTTGTGAATCTATAAATGTTAAGTTCAATACAGCTCGTAATTGGAGAACTTCCATTAAGGCTCCTCCAGAACTGCAGTGTTAGCATCTCCCTTTCTCTTCCCACTCGCCTGCTTTTTGTGAGTTGTTCTGTCCTATCCTTGCATAATGATTCCCTTGTACTCTCGGGACTCAATTCTGTTCCCGTTGAAATAGCTGGCAAAACTGCCATCGTTTCTCAGAGGGGCAGGATTAGTCCTTTATTCTGCGGTTTTGCAATAATAAAAGTAAGCCAGGTGAACACAAACTTCAGCATCGTGCAGTCATGAAATCCCTTTTGTGCATATTATTTCAGAAATAAACATCTCTGTGAACTGTAGCAGGCACAGCTTGAAATAATAATGGAGCAGTAGGTATAAAAGGCTAATGTCACAGTACTAAACACCCGCCTTGTTATTTAGCACTTTAGTGTATGAGATGCATACTGTAGCACTTAATTGTTAGTAATGAGAGCACAACAGTTAGTGTATCATCAACAGCAATGATAAATGTAGCACTCAGTTGATCCTGGCAAATCACTTTGAAATCCTCTGAACAAAAGGCACAACAGATTTATTAAAGCTGTTAATAATGTATTTATTAGTAGCAGTGTTTTATTATCCTTCTTGCAGATCTCAGTGCAATGTTTTTGTTGCCCCTCAAACTGCCATTAATTGCAATTATTCCTGTATAACCACTGACATTGGTCTATGGATCCTTGCTCATTATGTATGGCTAACACATTTGCTTTTATTTTTGCTTTGCAGTACAGAATTGGACAGCTGTACATGATCAGTAAGCACAGTCACGAACAGAGTGACCGAGGGGAGGGCGTGGAAGTCGTGCAGAATGAACCCTACGAAGATCCAAATTATGGAAACGGTCAACTAACAGAAAAACGGGTCTATCTCAATAGGCAAGTACCATGCAACTTTCCCTCCCAGCATGCACTGTGATAAAGATTTCCAGGGCATAACATTTCTCTCTGGCAATAGCTTTTCTGTTTCAAATGTAATGTGTTCTATTGAATACGTGCTGCTTTCTGGCACTTTCAAGGAAAGGAATAGTGGAAGAGCAGTGTTGCTTGAAATAGAGACATTAGCTGTCTTTTTGATTTTAGAGCACATTTTCCCAGGCAAAAAATTACGGCCTCCAGGCAGAGGTGTCTTGAAAATCAAAGTACTTTTCTATTTTCTTTCATACTTCCATTATTCCCTGCATGGGTAAGACAAAAACGGTTTTATTTTTAAAGCAAATCTAATATGTTAGAGGGCTTGGGGTCACTAGGTCTGAATTCTACCCTGGCACATTTGCTTTTGACCTGACTTAAGCCCTGGAGGTCTGATTTCCAGAAACGCTGAGCAACACTAATTCTCTTTGACTTCAATTAAAGTTAGAAATCATCAGCGCCTCTGGAAATCAAGATGCTGAATTAGCAAAGCCTTTAAGCACATACTGAAATATAGGCATGTGCTTAAATGCTGAAAGAGGCCTGAAGTCCTTAATTGCTGTAGGTGTCCATTTCTGCCCCGGCAGCGAAAAGGAAATGATGGTTCCTTCCTCTTACAGAGAGGTGCTGGAGGGTTAAGTCATTAATTTTGTAGTCCTGTACAGTCCTCTGATGGCAAGTGCTATAGAAACGCAATTATTCCTTAATACGCTGAAGTTTTTCCTTAAAGGAGAGTTGGTCTTTCTTAAATCTAGGGAAAAGAAAGGTGTATTTATTTCTCCTAAATCTCAAATCAGCCCCTACAGCACCTCAGCTAACTAAAATAGGCACATTAATATTAAATTCTGTCTGAGATGGCATGCAGGTTAATCTTGTCTCCTCTGTTCAACATCAGTAGCATGCGGAAAGTAACTCTAGTCCATAGTTAGAGAATTGCTTAGGGTAGCAGTGAACCCTGGGGTGCTGGCACAGCAAGATGGAGCATTACTTCATAAGAGTTGCACAAGGCCAGTGGCCTGTTTTGATGACAAAAGATTTGTCAGCAAATAAGTTGACATTATGAATGACCACTAGGCTTGTATGCTGGTGACCTTCTGCAGCAGTGACAGGCTTTAAGACATGATGGAAAAAATCGCTTTTGTTTCTCAACAGCCCTATCATTCCTTAAAATGAACTATGGATCATTCCTGACTGTGAGAATATAATGTTAAGGGTCAGCACTTCCACACTGACTTAAAAGCCAGTGTTAATTTTAAAACCTATATATTGCTGTCCTGTGAAATGTAGTGTTTAATTTGTTGCCGTTTTTTATTGCTGCTGATATAACTGAATATTGCTGCTTTTCTGATTCGCCTCCGTTCCTTTTGGCCTATTTCCTTTTATTAAGCTTTTCTGCACTGTGACCCTTTAGTGGCAAGCACAGCAGCACTGTAGCTAAGAGTCCATTGCAAGTTTTTCTGTAACCCTGACAGATCTGACCTTTCCCCAGCGTAGCAATTGGTTTACCAGCAGTATTCCACACACAAATAAATAATACTCCAGACAGCATATATATTATGACAGCACTTAACATTGTAATTATAACCCAGCACTCTCAGAAGTCACGCACAAGAGTTAAGAGACATCCACAAGCTCCCCTGTGCTGAATTCCTGGGTGCTTGCAATAGTCTTTAATCTCTGTTGGAAAAGCAAGGCACTGGGCACTTATAAGGGGGTTGCCATTTAGATCTTATCTTTGTGTTTTGGGATAAAACAAGACTAAAGCATGTGAAGACACCACTGATTACCTTGGCCAGAAAAGCAATGAATATTCTGCTTGGCTTAGCAGATAACTATCATTTTCATGCATAATGAATTTTCCATACGCAAAGTCCTGTATTTATGCTCAAAAGGACTGACACTGTGCAAAGAGAGCCTCTCTCTCACCATTTAGGAGCTTAATGGCCTTCACCGAATAGATGATAAGTTTGCTTGCACAAACGTTCTTGGTATGCACCTGAGAGCAAAATGTTGTGCCTGAGCAGATGATATTTAAAAGAAGTTAGCTCAAAGAATCGTAGAAAAGAAATTAGACATTCAGCAGCTGCTGGAGTATGAGTACAATCTAGAAATGTCGCTGTGGTAGCTTTATCTTGAACCTGTTCAAGCAGAGACTAAGATGTGCGCTTCCTCCTATGACTGAGAAATGCAGAGGACTGATCACTGTACTGCCCAGAAGACTAACTATTTCCAAGCAGTTGTAAATTCTCCTTCTCTTTCTCTCCTGTGTCCAGAAGGTCGTATCTCTTTTGGAAGGAGTGGAAAATCATTCTGCCCAAGGTTTCTTTTTCTGTCAAGATGCACTGCATATAGTTCTTTGTATCAAAATTATTCCAACATCTTCCTTATCTACCAAGAGAAAGTGCCCTTGAAAGAGTGCCAGTTTCTTGCTAAAATATTGCCTGATGGCCAAGGCAGATGTGTTGGCAAGATCACGCTACTTTTATCCATCTAGACGGTAGTTTCAGTTTCCATTCTGATGAGAACGAAAGACCTTGCCGTGACTACCGCTGTATGAATTACCGTCATAGGAGTAAGAAATCATAACTACCTTGAGTCACATAGGGAACAGCAAAGTGTATTCACGCTTCACCCCTTATCTCCAAGGGTGACCGATTCCAAAATCCACACCTATTTGATCTTGCTTTTTAGTGGGTGCCTGGCATTAATCTAGGTTAGAAATTTTGTCTTAAAAATGTTGTCATGTACTCTTTTTCTTCCCCCTCAGCAATTCTCCATTCACACAGCAGCATCTAGTAATTTCATACAGTGTTAGACTAGTGAATGCTAAATTTATTAAGGTGTCTGAAGCTCGTCAGATGTTTAGGTAAATATCCAAGATGACGTCCATATTAGCCATATTACCAGATCCAGCCAATCTTTAACCCACTGGCCCTTCCTTTCCTCCCATGCCTCCTTGGCTACCCAGTTCAGGTGAAATCCTGACTCCACTGGAGAGGAGGGTAAGCTCCCAGTGAGCTCAAGTCTGTAGGATTTCACTCTTGGTTAGCATTTTGCAGACACATCGGGACTGCAGACTTCTTCCTGTGCCTGGCCACCACCTCATCAGCCCTGCTCCAAGGCCAATTTAAGGATTTTTATGGCCCTGAACACAGTGTTAATGGTGGGGGGAGGTCTCACTGCATTTAATCCCATGCCAGTTATTGCTGTGATTGCACTTTAGCATGCGGGTGCTTTCAGCATGTTGCCTGTTTGTATTCTGGCACATTTGCGTGCTCATATTTTGGTCCTCTCTTCATGTTGCCCTCATAAATGTTTGTGCCCTGCACCGAGGCATGTGTCACACAGACCCTGCACAGGGGAACCAGCACCTGGGCTTCATGGAACCATGCCTGGAAATGAGATGGCGCCACACTGGTCCATTCAGGCTGCTTGCAGTCCCAGAAACCATGTAGTTGGGTTTGCTTTTGGCTGCAGGCAGGACACTCAGCATGGGAGCCGTCAGTCAGCCTTGCTAATTAGCTCTCCTGCAGCCCTTCTGCTTCTGGAGATAGCCCATGCAGAGTGGCACAGCGTGGGTGAAGCAGGGTAAGTTTACAGTCTAGACATGGCCGAAGGGTTTGAGCTGCTCAGACCGGACTAGCCAGCAGTGTCTGATACCATTTGGCATTCTAGGCAATGTGCCTACTGCAGTGTTGTCATCAGCTTAATGGGCTTGCGCAAGGTATAAATCAGTGCTAAATTTGGCTAATTGTGTTTTGTAGCTGAAGCCTTCTTGTATTCTTTGACAACTGAAGCCATACACAATCAGCAGTTTCATCTTGCAGAGGTTCATGACACATTTTCTGGGATTCCTGCCTACTTCCCAAGTTTTGCTTCAAGTTTTCATGCTCAGATGAAACATAGTGCTGAGTTTCGCCTGGTTTCCTGAGGCTTTTTGCCATTAGATACCAAACATAACTTTGATTTCAGCTCATATTATATCAAAGTTATTCTGAATTGGATTCAGTTTTATTCGAGCATTTGAGAACTTCAGTGACTTTTTCAGTTGAACTGGTCCGAGACCCAGATTCTTGCAGTGCCAGAAACTGGTCTTGTTGCACTTGGTTTCTCAAAGAACATTTCATACATCTTATTACCAAAGCAAATCATTTGATAACTGTATTGTAGCTTATCAGTAACAGGTCAAAGCAACAAATAGCCTTTAATGAGTCCCACTGCAGTTGTATTACTGTGGATTATTATATGGCTGTATATACCTATAGCAATTTACATACCTCTCCTTTTTCTTTTGTGACTGCCATTTGGATTATAAAACTGTACTGTGTCTTATTTGGAGATTGGTATCTCCAACTTGAGTGGAAGTGCCAGGGAAATCCCAAGGAAACTCCTTGCCCTAGCAGAGAGCTAACGTAGGAGAGTTATGTGTGTTGCCTATGGGTGCATGCTTTGTCACTGAGTAATGTGCTTGTGGTTTATAGTGTGTTTTTAAAGCCTGTGTTACTTTAGACTCTAACCAGGCTTTAACTGTTTCACCCAAAAGGGGAAAGTAAATCCAAGTGAGTACCTACAAGGGTTGAGCTCTGGAAAAGTGTGCAAGAACAACTGGAGAGACCTAGGAGCAGTTGGGCCATGGGATCCCATATCCTAGGAAGGGGTACCAGCATTGGAGCCTGTGTCAGGGCTATACCTGAAAGGTTACACAGCGAGATCAGATTTGGTATACTCAGAAGCCCATCGAATCCTAAGATTTGCATCTAGCAGAGCTGTCTGAGCATCCACAGAGGGAGCCGTGTTTTAAACCAGCGGCACCCAACCTTTTGGCCCTGTCGGCAGGATGAGTAGCACAGGGTTGGTCCACGGGCAGATCCCATACCCAGATCAGCCTTGTACCAGTTGAATCCAGCCCCGTGCACCCAGATCAAGCCACAGTCCACATGTAGTGTTAGGCTAATTGAATACTATAT